TTATTTAATTATAAAATATTTATAGATTTTGTAGGATTTAAATCCCTAAATATTAGGGGTTACTACCCAATCCAAATGAGGAAAGATTTAATGACCCTAATTTTAGTTAATGCTAAAATCCTAAATATCAGGAATAGATAAAATTTTAATTGATATTAAAATCCTAAATATTACGAGCATAATTAAATGATAAGTTTGTCCAATATAAAATTTATTTTTAAAGGATAAAAAAGACGAACGACATTCCGCTAAGGGCCTTCGTATTTTTAATATAGTATAGATAGATATATCCGAAAATGGATTTACACTAGAAATGAGTGATGAATGGGCTCACCGATGCTAGGAGTGTCAAGTTTAGCCAATGAAAATATATCCGTCCAACCTATTCACGTGGGTCAATTGATTTTGTGGCTCAGTTTTATCCCTACCTTTTTTTTTACACATGAGAGATGGAGGGAATATATTATTAGAAATTCTTATCCTAATAAGTCCTAACAAAGTAATTACTTATTGCTTAGTCAAATTGAGCTGCTCATCTTAACCTGAGTAAATTTAGATATTGTTGTGACCATATAATATTGATTCAGCCTGTTTTAACTCATTAAAGTTAAACTAAGCCCGTTTTAACTCGCTCAAATTTAACTCAACCCCGTTAACGTACTGACTTGTTACTTCTTTGTTAAAATTAAAAACAGAGAAAGAAATACAACAACGCCAGAAGTCAAATTGGAGATACAAACAGAACAAGTAAATCTACATTTTGTTCTATGTTTACAATTTTACATCTTTAAAAATTAGTTTATATTTGTTTAAGAGGTTGTACTTAATTTTGATTTTATATAAGTTAAATGTAATTCCTTCAATTATAATTCTAATTGTTTTATCTTCAGGTGATATTGAGCAATGGCTTCGCAAATATTACTTTATCAAAACCAGATGGCCACGTCACGTGCATATCATATGGTGGGATGGAAAATTTACTAGCGACCAAAAACGAAAACGATAGAGGGTATTAAGTTTTAACCTATTGTTAAACCTAGTATTATAGTTTAAATTTTCTTTAGTGAAGAAAATTATTAAAATAATAATACTACAATTATGTCAATTTCAGGTATTGGGATGTTATCTGGAATAATACTGGACCTCAGACAACTCGAAAAAAGTAATCAGTCTTTACCTCTCTTGTTGTTACCTATTAACTTGTATCGTATCGTAACTTTTAAATTTTAATACGATCTTTGTTTTGATTGTTACTTAAATTTTATTATATTTTATCTTTAAATCCTTCCTTACGTAATGACAAAAAGTGTCACGGTATGGAATGACCGATTTGGTGTGGTCGCATTATTTTCTTATGTTTTTCCTCTCATCTTGTCCTTCCTTATTATTAAATAATATTATTTTATCTTTTACCCTACCTTTTTATATAATAATTTTATCTTGTACCTTTTTCTTTATAATATTGCAAGTTTATTCTTCATATTGTTGATGCATGACATCATGAAACGGCGACAAATAATAAAATCTATGCAAATATTATATACATAAAAACGATACAGTATAATAATACAATAGAATACTACATGATATATTATGAATGATACATAACAACTATCTAAACAAGTTGTAACTACTTGATGAATTTTTTTTTCGAACATTAAATCCATAAACTTTGGTGTTATTTTGCAGGTTTTCAGCAACAAGTTTTGAAGTCATAATAGACAATGAAAATCAGACAGAAATTTCATTTAAAAGAACATGGAATGCTTCTCAATCTGATCAACCTCCCTTAAACATTGACAAAAGGTGAAATACTTCAATGTAAAAGCTCAACTTTTTTCTTTCTTTTTGAAGTTTCTAATTTTGATTGTAAAAATTATATTTACACTGTTAGAATATAGAAGTTTATCGTTGTATTCGACTATTTTCTAATATTTTAGCGCGCAAATTTCAGGTATATAATGCTACGCGACGCGCCAGGATTTTATACATACTCAATCGTTGAACGTTTAGAAGGATGGCCGCTTTCGTATATCCAAAATCTCAGGATTGTCTTCAAGCTTCAAGAAGACATGTATTTTATCTAAAATTTCTCATCATTAATAATTTATTTTAAAATTTGTTACTGGATTTATATATAGTATTGAAACTGAATTTTTATGAATAAAAAGGTTTCACTACATGGCTGTCTCTGATGAGAGACAACGGGTCATGCCAATGGAAGTGGATCGGAAGACTGGCGAGGTGCTTGACTACAAAGAAGCCGTTCTTCTTACTAACTCGACTAATCCAGATTTAAAAGGAGAGGTATACGACCCTATAATTAGCATAAACATTTATTTGAAAAAGATTTAAAAACAATATAAATTTTTTTTTTACGAAAGTCAGCAAGCAAATCAACTTTTATGGTAGATTACTCAAAAGAATTGACTTGAGAGTTTGTGAAAGTATATAGATCATATATTGCATCATCTTCATAGAAATAAGTTTTGTTTAAACCACCAAAAGTTGTGGTTGGATGGTACTTATATTACTAAGTAAATATATTACCGTCTCATTCTTAACCAGAAGTTTTAGATTCGAGTCAAGTGTTGTTAAAGGCGCTCTTAAACCCTGAAGCGAGGCTCAAAACATGTTGAGCACTTCAGTGTTGCATCAAAGCTCCTAGGAATACATTTCTTTGTCATTGAGTGTAATTCTAAAAAAACGACACTAAACAATTGATATTTCACTTTGTCATAATTTTTTTTTCAATTTCTTTGTCATATATTTGTTATTCATGCTTATAGTTATTGATCTTGGATTATATATACATAACTTTTTACGTTTTCTCCAGTAGCGCCTTTTTTCATTAAAGCTCACGCTTTATTTGCGCTTTGCACTTAAAACCCTAATAGACATTAGAGTTTTTTTTTTGCACTTCTCGTCTTTGGGGGTAAGAAGTGTTTTTTACCCCCAAAATAGGATTTTCCGATGTAAATCTGGATAAGTCAAGCTCCAAAGCTGGTACCGAACACACACTGAGTGGGAGAAAAAAAATTGTTTACTATTTGCATGGCTTGATGTTTATATACACGTATAAAATATGCAGGTGGATGACAAGTATTTCTATACAAATGATAACAAAGACGGTAAAGTTTATGGATGGGTGAGTGCAAATCCTCCGGTAGGATTTTGGATGATTATTCCAAGCAATGAATTTCGTACTGGAGGACCATTTAGACAAGACATTACTACACATGTTGGTCCAACTGTACTTTCTGTAAGTGATGAATTATAGAAATTCTATATAATATGTAACACTTCATTTTCTTTTATTTTTAGTCATATATATATTTTAATTATAATCGCAGGTATTTGTTAGTACACATTATGCAGGAGAGGATTTGGCTATAAAATTTCAACAAGGAGAACCATGGAAAAAAGTTATTGGCCCTGTCTTTGTGTATCTTAATTCAGATGGTTCAGCTAAGGGCAATCCCTCCATACTTTGGGATGATGCTAAGAAAAGGGTAATATATTAATCTCTTGCTATTTGCTAATACCAATTTGAGAAGTGAATTCAGTTAACATATTGCTGAAGGAATTCTCCGTCAAATTTACAGATGAATCAAGAAGTCGCAAACTGGCCCTATGAGTTTCCAGTTTCAAAAGACTACATCAAATCTAATCAAAGAGGAACAGTTAGAGGCCAAATACTTGTTAAAGACAGGTCGGTCTTTTTTCCAGTATTCATCCTTTAGTATCTGCAATCAAATTACTTTCAAATATATGATCTACTTTGTTGATTTTGAGGGTAATTCACTATAAGAAAACCTTAAATTACATGGGGATTTTACCTAGGAATTTTTTCTGCAGATAATTCCTGCAAATTTTCATGCGAAAATCTA